CGGTATCTGCGCGTTTCCTCCTCCACCAGGGCCGCAGCCTAAGAACGAGAACAGGCCGGGGTCGCGGGGGGAAACGGCAGCGTGCCTCCGGCAGCCCCGCCGCACAAGCCCCGCACTCACCGCTTCCCGCACGCCGGGCGCCTCGTAGCCTTGGTCAAAGTATGGTAGCGCATCCACCACCACCTCCCCAGCTACCAAGCCCGTGCCCGCCATGGCGCGGCACTCAGCTCCAAGAGCGTCTTCTGAGTCTGCGTAGCCTCGGTTCTATTCTACCGCGCCTGCGCCTGGAATGACGTCACACAGGCCGCTGGCTCCGGGCTTCGAATCAGGCGCATGCGCAGTTGGTAATTGTTGCCACAAGGCTCTAAGACTAGGCGTCACACGCTAACATGCCAGGGTACCTTTCATTGTATGGGTACCGTGTGCATGTTTTTGAAGGAGTGGGTAGGGCAGACTTCGGAAGAGGCGGTTGCTGGATTTGGCTGGAGGGGAGAAATATATTTCCTACATCCTTTAACCTTCTATTGTTTAAACTCGCATAGTGCTGGGCTTCTGGCGTTCCCTTGCTTTATCCTTATTTCGCAGGCTCAAGAGTGATCTTTTATAGAAACTAGAAATGTGCGCTTATTTTCCAATTAAATTTTTAGATCTAGCAACCTGAGGGATGCGGCTCAATGGCAAAACCAGTTCAGTTCCCAGCACTGCAAACATCCCTTCCAGGACTGTAATTATATGTACAAAATGCCTCATTTTAGAAGCTCTGCCTCGGAGCGGGCACAATTTTGGGGCGAGCTGGAAACCTAGAAAAAGGGAAACTCCCAGGAATATATGAGGGTGACCCTAAAACTTGAAGCAACAGAGGACACGGAACCTGAAACAGCCAATTCCTAGAACCAGGCAAGACTTCCAATGGAGAGATGGGGACACCAGCCCACCCACAAAAACAAAATTTGTCCTGCTTACAAGATGTGTGGGGATAAAGATGGTCTAGAAACTGAGGGAATGACTAAACAATGACTGGACTCATCCCATGAGAGAGACCCCACCCCGACACTATTAATGATGTTGTTATACTTCCAGACAGAAGGGGCTTCACCCAACAGCTGTTGGAAACAGATGTGAAGATCCACAGCCAAACATCAGGCAGAGCTCAGGGAATCTTGTGGAAGAGGGGGAGGAAGGACTGAAGGAACCAGAGGGGTCAAGGACACTACAAGAAAACCTACAGAATCAACTAACCTGGTCCCATAAGGATTTACAGAGACTGAACCACTAACCAAAAAGGATGCAATGGACAGACCTAGGCCTCTTACACATATGTAACAGATGTGTAGCTTGATCTTCATGTAGGACCCCGAACAGCTGGAGCAGGGATTGTATCTAACTCTGCTGTCTGCCTTTGGACTCCTGTTTCCTAACTGGGCTGCCTTGTTTATCCTCAATAGGAGGAGATATGCCTAGTTCTGAAGTTTGATATGCCAAGGCTAATGGATATCCATGAGAGGCCTCCACTTCTCTAAGGATAAAGGAAGGGGAAGATGGGGATAGGAGAGGTGAAAGGAGGGAGTAGGAGGACAGGAGGGAGGGGAGGCCGTGATCAAGATGTAAATAAATGATAAGATTCTGCCATTTTTGTCTTTAGAGCCTAAGTAAAACCCAATCATTTTGCATTTAGGATTTTTGGTAATAGAATATTATTCCACGTTGTCTCCCAACCCCTCAGGCTGTAGTTAGTATACATTCTCTGTAAAATATCTTCCAGGCTAAGAGGTAAATGCAAAAAGGATTGTTAGACTATGTATGCTCTCCAATGTTCATTCAACCAAAGCTTATCTGTTAACAGTTTGGAAAAGTTGATCACGGTTATAAGCCTGGTTAGTCTAAACTGGATTTGAGTATTTATTTATTTATTTTGTTTTTTTCGAGACAGGGTTTCTCTGTGTAGCCCCGGTTGTCCTGGAACTCACTCTGTAGACCAGGCTGGCCTCGAACTCAGAAATCCGCCTGCCTCTGCCTCCCAAGTACTGGGATTAAAGGTGTGTGCCACCACTGCCCGGCCTCTTGTTAGGTTTTTTTGTTTTGTTTTTTGTTTTTCGAGACAGGGTTTCTCTGTATAGTCCTGGCTGTCCTGGAACTCACTCTGTAGACTAGGCTGGCCTCGAACTCAGAAATCCGCCTGCCTCTGCCTCCCAAGTGCTGGGATTAAAGGCGTGCACCACCACTGCCCGGCAGATTTGAGTATTTATGACTTTACATTACATAAATGTGCTGTCTACAGGTTTATGTAAAGTGTTGTGATTTGATGAGAACTGCCTCTTTATAAGGATTTGAACACTCGGTCACCAGATGGTGGCGCTGTTGCAGAGCCTTAGGCCAGAGAAGTCTCTGGAGATGGGCTACTTTTGCTTTCTGCTTCCATGTTGCCCTTTGAAGATGTGAACTCGGGCTGGAGAGATGGCTCAGTGGTTAAGAGCAGTGACTGTACTTCCAGAGGTCCTGAGTTCAAATCCCAGCAACCACATGGTGGCTCACAACCATCTGTAATGAGATCTGATGCCCTCTTCTGGTGTGTCTGAAGACAGCTACAGTGTATTCATATATAATAAATAAATAA